CTGACTGTAAGCACACTGAAAACAGGCCCAAACCTCATGGAGCCCCATCTGGCCTACTTGGAAAAATTAATTTTTCAATATTCCCTAAAATCATTTATATCTCTGTGTGGGGTTATATGATTCTGACATTTAAAAATTACTGGGGCATGCCAGATAACTATAAAAAAGGCCAGCAAATTCCTACAACCTTGATATCCAAATCCAGTGAAAGGACACATGGAAAGGAAGACAAGCCACAGAATCATCATGAAAGAACTCCCATTCCATCTGCCCAAGAGGGAAAGAAAGCAACCTCTAGAACCTCATTAATTCCCATGTTTTCCCTTCAATGTTAGCACCTCTTCTAGTGCTGAGCATCCTTACACTGGTTCCTGGACCTGTCCTCTCCACTCCCTAACGTGAAGTTACCTCTCAGATAGACCATTCTCTCTGAGCCTTTCCAAGTGCCTGAGAGTAACTTGGTTCACTTTACTGATGATATAATGCAGTACTTCTCTCAGGTAAGGGAGCTCTGGTGGTGCCGTGGTTTAAGCATTCACCTGCTAACCAAAAGGTCAGTGGTTTGAACCCATCAGCCACTCTGCGGGAGAAAGATGAGGCACTATGCTTCTGTAAAGATTTACAGCCTTGGAAACCCTTTGGGGCAGTTCTACTCTGTCCTATAGGGTCACTATGAGTCAGAATTGACTTGATGGCTATGGCTGAGTTTCTCAGATAAGATGTTAGTGCTTTTATAAGGGTGCATCTGGGGACAGGATTCCTTAATTAAAGTAAATAACTGTAGACCTAGGTAGATTCCTTGGTGCTCCTCAAATTACTTTCTTAATTTGACTCCCTTAATTCCTTAGAGAGGAGCTCTGGTGGTACAGTGCCTAAGGCACTTGACTGCTAACCAGAAGGCTGGTGGTTCAAACCCACCAGCCACTCCTCGGAAGGAAGGTGGGGAAATCTACTTCCATAGTGATACTGCCTCGGCAACCCAAGGAGGGGTTGCTATGAGTCGGTCCCACTGGACGGCACATAACAATAACAACAAATTCCTTAGAGAGGAGCTCTGGTAGCATAGTGCTTAAGGCACTTGACTGCTAACCACAAGGCTGGTGGTTCAAACCCACCAGCCACTCCTCGGAAGGAAGATGGGGCAATCTACTTCCGTAGTGATACTGCCTCGGAAACCCAAGGAGGGGTTGCTATGAGTCAGGCTGACTCCACAGCACATAACAACAACAATTCCTTAGAACATTCAGTAAAATGCTGATTCTCCATGGAGCCAGAATTAACAAGGAGTCTGAAAGATGTTTTCCCTAAAGGCAGTTCCAAACCTGGCCTAAAGCTAAGCTAAGTGTCGAATAGGAGGAAGGCGTATTTTATGATCAGTGGGGATCTCCTTTCAAAGATCCCCAGTTCTCCTCCTCTAGTGAGGTTCAGAGGTGGCAAAAGGCAAAATGGAACAATAGTAGGCTTTTATTTTGCCTTCGGGAACATCTCCAGCCAGGGCAAATTTGGATGAGGTGGAAATGGCCATTCTCAAAGAAGAACTAAAATCATTAGATTGCTTTATGTTTAAATAAAGCAAAGCTTAATATGTTGAAATCGGGCTCATCTTATCAAATAAAGCATAACATTAATAAGATGTTTTGTGCTCCCTAAGGACCTCATTGGTGTTTGATAAAAATATTTCCTTCTCTCTAGAACATTTTTGTTTTCTGCTTATAAAAGTAATAAGACCCGTTGGAGAAAATTTAGAAAATACAGAAAAGCACAGAGAAGGTATCACCCAGAGATAACTATTGATAAAGGTATTTGGTATTATATCTCACACTGAGCAAATTTAACTTGTTTTTCTTGCTTCAGAGAATTCCATTCTAGAGGCTAAACCATTTTGTTAATGAATAAAGGGAAGCAGAGGCTAAGCAACTCATTGCAGGCCTTGCTGATCACAGAAAGCAGAGTGGAACTAGAAACGAACGTCCCCCCAGTACCCCAGCCCTCATTCTGAGCATGCATTTTCTTGCTGCCCAGGCTGAAGCCCCCAAAGAGAAACAGCCTCGGAGGTAGCTGAGGGGTAGTGCTTGTGGAACATTCACGATCTTCATACTCTTGGTTGGTTTTTCTTTTGGGTGTTAATTGTTTTTTTTTCTTCTCTCTCTCTCCCTCCTTTTCCCTCTTTCTTTCATTCTCTCTCTTTCTCCCATAAGTCATTTGAAGAAATCAATAAAAGGTATATAAAATGTGGCACAATGTAGTGGCTACTGAGAATAGCATGACTGGATGCTTTATTTTAATATCTTGGTGCTTTATAGAAAATGAGCTGCTGAAAAAATACATACATTTAGTAAGCTACTAGATTTTCACTTTTAGACACTGTGCTTTTAAAAGCTAAATGACAGCTTTGAAAGAAAATTGCATGTGCTTTAGTTAAATAACAATTACCATAATGTAGATTTTTAACTGCTTCCTTGAGATGTGTTCTATATTTGCAACCTCGTGTACACCATTGTTCCTGTCACCGAATACAGAACGTTTTGCAGATACTTAGACTTATTGGTTAAATATGAGCATTTGAAAGAATCATTCATATCCGTCTTGTGTAATTTTGTGTCTTATGTAATCTTAATGGAATGTTCTCTGATTTTCACTTCCAGATAGTCATGCATTTATCTTCTCTTTCTGCTTGACTAACCTAAATGAATCTTCCTCTTTTGATTTTGTTGTTTTAACACACAGTATTTGCTCTTGTAAAGCAAAACACTCAAGAAATTAGGAAATGCCTATAAAACCATACAACATCAAACCCGTGTTTATTTATTGGAATGTGTGATATTGAACTTCTTATACTGCTCTGAAATCTTTTCTTTTGGGCCCCATGCAAGACCTGGAGTTTTTCTTACTGATTAAACCCAGTATCTTCCCATTTTTATCTCTTTATAGTAAACTTCTAAGACTGTAAATATTTTCTTCAGTTTACGTCAATGCCAGTGAAAATTGTGAAACAGCATAAAGTGAAAACATACTTTTGTTTAGATATATGAAAATGTAGAAAAATGAGTTTGGACTAGAAACCCATTTTTTTTTTTTTTTGAAAATTGAAACTGCACAGATGAATCTATAAAAAATTTTTTTCAACAGAATACTCTCAATAGTTTTAGGAAAATGAACAATATTAATATTTTTGTTGATCAATAAAGGTTTTATAACAGTGGCTCTGTTATAAATAAAATTATTTGGGAGATTTAAAAAATGCAGATGCCTAAATCTTACCCCCTGGGCTCTGGCAGCATAGTGCCTAAAGCACTTGACTGCTAACCAGAAGGCTGGTGGTTCAAACCCACCAGCCACTCCTCAGAGGAAGGTTGGGCAATCTATTTCTGTAGTGATACTGCCTCGGAAACCCAAGAGGGGTCGCTATGAGTTGGGTCTGACTCGATGGCACATAGCAACAACAATAACAACAAATCTTACCCCGAGAGATTCTGATGTAATTGGTATGAGGTGTGGCCTGGGCATTTTTAAAGCTCCCAGCTTGGTGCCTAAGGCATTTGACTGCTAACCAGAAGGCTGGTGGTTCAAACCCACCAGCCACTCCTTGAAAGGAAGGTTGGGCAATCTACTTCTGTAGTGATACTGCCTTGGAAACCCAAGGAGGGGTCACTATGAGTCAAATCTGACTCAATGGCAGTGAGTTGTTGTTTTATTTCATGGTTAAAGCATTCGGCAGCTAACCAAAAAGATCAGTGGGTTTAAACCCTCCAAGCACTCCGTGGGAGAAAGATGTGGTGTGGCAGTCTGCTTCCATAAAGAAATCCCAGGGGGTAGTTCTACTTTATCCTATAGGATCTCTATGAGTTGGAATCGACTCACAGCAGTGGCTTTGGTTTGCTGAGATGATTCTAACGTGCAGCCAGAGTTGAAAACCTCTGGTTTATGACAATCTGTCCTTTGGCCCGGTGGCTCCCAGAACTGACTGTGCATCTGAATCACCTGTGTGATTTGTTAGACCATAGACACTGGGATCCCATCCCAGAGCCACTACATCAGAATTTCCAGGGTAGAACCAGGCATCTGCAGTTAAACAATTCTGACAGTTTTGCCTGAGTCTGAGGCACAACAGTGAGATCTGGAAATTTATACCCAGGCTACACTCCTAGTTTTTTTTTTTTTTTTTTTAATTATACATTGCTTCTAAATATATATAGATATAAATATATAAAAAAACAAAAACTTAAAACAGGTTTATAGTTTCATAGTGCCATACAATGTAGTGGAATGTAGATAAATATTTGCTTATTTATATTTCTTCAATCCATGGAAGATACTGATTGGCAAGAAAACTTGGTGAATAAAAATTTAGGAATGCTTTTACCTTGCTGTAGAATATTTTCTGTATTTTAGAATACAGAAAATGCTGTAGAATATTTTTACTTTTCTAAGGAGCTCTGGTAGCATAGTGCCTAAGGCACTTGACTGCTAACCAGAAGGCTGGCGGTTCAAACCCACTGGCCACTCCTCAGAGGGAAGATGGGGCAATACTTCCGTAGTGATACTGCCTCGGAAACCCAAGGAGAGTTCGCTATGAGTCGGGTCCGACTCGACAGCACATAACAACAACAACAACAAAGTGTTAGGTTATTAACTTGCTAGTATGAACTCACATCCATGTAATAAATACAGCTCCTTTGGTTTTGTGCTTGAATTTGTTCAACTGTGTGTCATTTTAACTTCATTGTCCCATTGACAATGACTTAATATTTGCTAAAGCTGCATGTCACCTAAATGCAAGTATGCTCGTGATAACCATTATTTCTCTGTAAAACAACAACAACAACAACCAAATAACCAATAAACAACTACAAAATTCTGGGATTTGGAAAGAAATAAGAGCAATTAAAGAGAGCCCAACTAAACACACACAAATACACATGACCACATGCACACACACACTTGATGAAACTTGATTGCTTCACTAAAAAGAAGCCTTTCATGTCCTCACAGCTTCTGCCTCAAAGTCTCAAAGTTGCTGGTGTTCCTTTCTACAAAAGTGCTAATTATCTAGTTTATTTTACCTTGCTGCTGTTTCTCCCTCTCTTCATGTTATATCTCTGAAGGCAGTGCTTGTATATTAAATAATTTTTCTCTACACTAAAAAATGCTTAAATTAAAGAACGCTGTCAAGCATATTTATACTCAAAATTTGCATATCTTGAAAAACACATTTGCTTAGAAAATGTTGTTCTGCTAAGAAGATGCATTTTTTTCCCTCCATATGCTCTTTTGTATAATAATAATAAAGGGAGTTGCAATCATTGTAGGATGTACTCATAAAAAAAGATGTCCACTTGCCCCTTTATAAGCCAATATTAAAACTAAATAGGTCAATGCGTAAGGAAGACTCAAACATTCTACTTGTGATATCTACAACTGGAGCCTTTGTGCTACAAAGAGTCCTCTGCTTAGACTGTAATGTTTATTGAAAGTGCTTAGTGTGTGTATTGGCCACCATTTTTTGTTAATTCTGAATCTATTCTTTCCACCCTCAGCATCCTTCGTTTAGGCTCTTGTTGTCTTTTCTCAACTAGACCAATGTGGTGTCCTCCTAACTGACCTCACTGCCTCTTTGGTCTACTTGCCCTGATCCTTCCTTAGACTCTTGCCAGGGTATTCTAAACTTCCCTTGTATGAACACTTCCATGGCTTTCTCTATCCTAAAAAATAAAACAGAAATTCTCCATGGATTTGAAAGATACTTCACAGTCAAACCACACACGACCTTTTTTTTTTTTAACTTACCAAAGTAGCGTAATACCTAAGGCACTTGACTGCTAACCAGAAGGTTCAAACCCACCACTACTCCTCGGAAGAAAGGTTGGGCAATCTACTTCCGTAGTGATACTGCCTCGGAAACCCAAGGAGGGGTTGCTATGAGTTGGGGGTCTGACTCGATGGCACATAACAACAACAACAACAACAGTTGGTGACCTTTTTATTTTCACTTCTAATTCCCCCCTTGCCAACTCCCGAGCTTCTTCCAGTTACTCTCTTATATCTCTATGTCTTTGTTCATGCTGCCCTTTCCTCCCAGCAACATCCTTACTCCCTTTCCCACCTGGGAAATTCCTACTCATTCTTTAAGATACAGCCCAAATGTCACCATCTCTTTGAAGCCCCTACTGGAACCATCTCCCTTAAATCAGATAAGGATAAATTAAAAAGAAAAAAAAAAAAAAAAGACATATTGTGGTAAATATTTAGGTAGCAAAACATTTGCCATTCCACCATTCTTCCCATGTGCATTTCAGTGACATTAATTTGTGTTCATAATGTTGTTTAATTGCCACTCTTACATGTTCCTAAGTTTTTCCCATCAGGGATGGTGAATTTTATTGTTCCTAACACCAGAAATCATAGTGGGCACTCTTTAAATATTTCAATTGTATTTTATAATATTTTTCCCATCATTCTGACCAAAAATTTACTAGACCTGAGATCTTGATAGGAGTCCTAGTGGTGCAGTGATTAAAGCACTTGGCGGCTAGCAGAAAGGTCAGCAGTTTGAACATGTCAGCTGCTCCATGGGAAAAAGATGTGGCAATCTGCTTCCATAAGATTTACAGCCTTGACAACTCTATAGGGTAGTTCTACTCTGTCCTATAGGTGTACTGAGAGTCAGAACTGACTTGAAGGCAGTGGGTTTGGTTTTGGTTTGAGATCCTGATATTCTCACTCACATGAAACTACTGACATCTTATTCATTCAAAATATATTGATTAAGCACTACCATGTGCCAAGGGGGAGTTCTGGTAGCATAGTGCCTAAGGCTCTTGACTGCTATCAGAAGGCTGGCGGTTCAAACCCACCAGTCACTCCTTGGAAGGAGGGTTGGGCAATCTACTTCCGTAGTGATACTGCCTCGGAAACCCAAGGAGGGGTCGCTATGAGTCGGATCCGATTTGAGGGCGGTGAGGCTTTTTTTTTTTTTTTGAATGTGCCAAGTAATGTATTACAATACAGTGAATGAATACAATACAATATAGCAGTAAATAAAATATAGATTATATTCCAGTGAAGTAGCCTGACAAAAAACAGATGAGGCGTGATAAGTTTGAAGAAATAAAATGAAGCAAAGTAAGGGAAAGAGAAGACAGGCAGTGCTGTGTTAGTTGGGGCCCAGGGATGACCTCTCTGAGGAGCTGCTATTTGAACAGATAGAAGGTAAGCAAAGAAAGGAGTCTTACAAATATCTGGGAGAAGAAGATTCTAACAGTAAGTAACAGGTGAGGTGGATATCTCCCGGGAAAATCAAAAGGTCTATGGCAATGAAGACAGCGCAGTTCCTCACTGTTGACTTAATTGCTAGAAGATAGTGCCAGTCCTGTGTGAGAGAGGGCACAGAGGGGAAGCCCCTCACGCTGAAGATAAAGGTTTCCACAATATTCCTCTTTCCCCTTCAGAGTCATTCTGTTTTTTAATCCAGATTTTACCTGGATTCACAAATGCTAATTGTTGGCATCCCTCCTAAGAGGGTCTTTAATAAAAGCTTTGTTGTTGTTATATGCCATGGAGTCATACCTGACTCATAGCGACCCCTCCTTGGGTTTCCAAGGGTAGCATAGTGCCTAAGGCACTTGACTGCTAACCAGCCGGTTCAAACCCATCAGCCACTCCTCGGAAGGAAGGTTGGGCAATCCTACTTCCGTAGTCATACTGCCTCGGAGACCCAAGGAAGGGTCGCTGTGAGTCGGGGCTGACTCGATGGCAAATAACAACAACAACAATATCACTACTGAAGTAGATTGCCCAACCTTCCTTCCGAGGAGTGGCTGGTGGGTTTGAACTGCCAGCCTTCTGGTTACCAGTCAAGTGCCTTAGGCACTATGTATGCTACCAGAGCTCCCTAATAAAAGCTAATAATTTATAAACTATGCCACTCCTCGGAAGGAAGGTTGGGCAATCTACTTCCATAGTGACACTGCCTAGGAAACCCAAGGAAGGGTCGCTATGAGTCGGGGCTGACTCAAGGGCAAATAACAACATAGGCTTGTTTAGTCTTGTAAGAATGGGTAGACTGCGCCCTCTTTCCCTGCTGTATCCTCAGCACCTAGAACAGTGTACGTGACACCGTAGTAGGCAAACAATATTTTTTGAATGACTGAACGACTAGAAGCATAATAGTGAGAACTGAGCATAGCAAGACATAGCAAGTCAGATACTTTTGACTATTTATGTCGTTAAGGAAATAAATTATAAAAATCCTTCAAATTTAGCAATTTTGAGGGCTATTTTATAGATGAGAAATGGAGGACTATGTAATTCAGCAAAATCTTTTCCGTTTGAGGATACAAGAGTAAATTTCCATTATTACCAGTTGCACCCAAGAACCCTAAGAATAGACTTTAGGCATGTATTCCAGACCTTCAGAACAGTTTAAATCCTATTTGGAATCAATTAGAGGCTCCTGCATCATAAAAACCACCACCACCACCACCACCACCCCCCTCATTTTGAACAGTTGTTTTTAGCTCTCATTCTGTATGTTAATAACTTCTTGACTTATCTAGAAATATTTTCTTCTTGGTAGGTTGCTTTCTGCAATGGAGAGCACTGCTTCTTTAGAGAACATGCCTGCTGCATTTTCACTTTTTGAACATTATGATGACAGTGCTGCAAGAAGTGACCAGATGTTAAAACAAGTGCCTGGTAAGAACTTCAGTGTATTAATCACCTTGATGAAATTCAGTAGGTTTTGCTTGTTGTTTTCTACAGTGTCTGAATGTAAGTAAATGAATGAGAAAAATAAAGATCTTGGTTGTCACATTTTAAAACTAAATTCTGAAAGAAAGCATGAGACTAGCACACCCTTTTGGTTACAAACTGTATTTCCTTTGGAAGCTGTGTGGTTGTGCTGGAATATTGTGGAGGTGGGAGGAAGTAGCAATGGAACCAAAGCTTCTCCTGCTCCCCCCCTTTTTTTACTTTTCTTTTAAAGTAGGATTTCTCTGCCTTTCTTTTAGAGATTATTTGCTTCCTGGCAGCAGCCAGGTATAAAAGGAAAAGTAAATCAAATATTTTTGTATGTGTTGAACAGATTTTTCCTTATGAGTGGTTTTCCCCTCTTCAATTCTTTTTCCTTTTTTTCAAACTAAACAGATTAGCTTAGAGAACTAACAGCTCAGCACCATGCTCTGTATTCAGGAGCCTCCCACTCAGCTGTCAGAAGCATCTTGCCGGCTCTTCAAAATATTTTTTTAATGTGCTATTTTAACAAACAAGACAATGAAACTTATTTAGATTTCTCAAAGCTACTGTGTTTCAGTGAAGTTACCAAGTTACTGTACAATGTACTCAGATGTCCTCCTTAGAAGATGCTGTATTCTGCCAAAACCACCTTGACGTCTCAAAGCCTAGAGAACCTGTTTAAACTGACAGTTTATCATTTCTGTAGGAAGAGTTTTAGTTTATTAATGGTAAAAAGGGTACTGTGTCTTTTTTTTTTCAAAAAAACAACCCTATATAAAGTAGTGAAAAATTCAGTTATTTATCCTAATTTTTTTTTTTAAAGTCAAAAAGAGTGTCTTCTGTAATGTCTCTAAGAGGCATTAGAATAGAGTGGTGATTGCAAACTAAGAAATTCTTATTAACAGGGCAGATCTTTTGCTTTTAAGGGATTCATTATATGCTGTTGTTCACTTAGACCAATAAACCCTAGAATACCTGTTGGGCAATGAGAGGTTATTTACGTATTTTGGAGATCATAGAGTTAAACTGTCAAAATGTTAAGGATTAAGTCAGAGATAGCACACATGGCAGATCCAGTGGTTGGAGACCATTTATGGGGGGACTGGTCTCTGAGAGAGCAATGCTGCTGGGTGCATCTGCTTCACAGAACTGGAGCCAGGATATTAACTTGCCACTGCATAGTTTTTGTTCGTTTTGTGACCAATGTTGCCTCTTACATATAAAGTCCTCACCTGGTACCTGAAAAGTTAATCTGATCACTCCCTAAACTAAACAGAGGAAAGGATGTGACTTTTCCATTGAACCACAGAGTAAACAGTTATTTGCTATTTACATGATGCCTGGCACTGTGGACAGACTATTAAGCATATTCTATCCTGTCCTGTCCTATTCTATATCATAACAAACCTCAACCAAAAAAAAAAAAAGAAAAAGAAAAAAACAAAAGACCACTCACTGCCATCAAGTCAAATCTGACTCATAGAGATCCTTCTGGTCCTTCCTCAACCCCCTCTCCCTACCCCAACCCTACTCCCTCAGTGCAGGTCTCAAGTAGCAAGACCCTAACCTCATTTGTTAATGAGGATCCTGCAGTGGGGTTTTTACACACATTAGTGTTTCCTTGACTTTTAGAATATTTCCAGAAATGATTTTGGTTTTGAGGGAGCCGGAATCATCGCTGGCTTTCTCCAGAGAAATACCTCTTCACTCTGGAACCTTCAGCTTTCAGGGTCCTGGAATCCCTAAACAATGAAATTAACATTGAAAAGTGGCCCTGTGATTTCCGGTAAGATGGAGGAATAGGCAGACAAGCAACACAGACCCTCTTCAGCAAAGAAAAGAAAAACCAATTGACAGAGATACAGATGACAATCCCGGAACCCTGAGCTTTGAAAGTATACAGAAGTGGATTAGGCACCAACTAGTGGAAAAACCTGAAGAAAAACATTGAGTACAGAGACCATCAGAGCTGCGGACTGTCAGCTACTCTGACGAGACCAACAGCCTGAATATTTCCAAGTGGTGTTGGGACCTGAGAATTAACCTAAAGATCAGCCCTGGTCACCAAGGGCTGCAGGGACAACTTCTCTGGTGGCCTATGACTAGGAAGGGAAATAACAAGAAGGGAGACAACCTGAGCTGTGGACTTTCTGCTGTCTGGAGGGAGTGGCCATTTTGATTTTTTACACATAGCAGCCATTTTGGATATTTAAAGTGACCGAGGGTGCAGCCATTTTGAATGTTTACAAGTGGCAACCATTTTGGATTTTAAAGTGATAGTGTTCTCATTTGGATTCCAGGGATCTAAGAACAGGATCTGTTTGCCAGGGTCGGCAAGGACATAGGACAGGCTGACAAAGGAAAGGAG